ATTTGAGTGAGGCGTTCAATGATGATTGACTTTCAAATATGAAGACGAGCATAGAGATTGTCCCTGAATTAGTACTTCATGAAACTAATGAATCCACGATTCCTTACTTTGAACGTTCTTTTAATTATGACTTTTGGAAGAGTTTCACATGAGATATGGTTCGGTTATTATTGATCTGCTTAGGGAGCATCAGGCGTTAAAGGAGATCAGAGTTTTGACAAATCGTCCGTTGTAGATTCAAGGTAGCCAAGCCGAAATGATTAAACAATGAAGAGTATGCTAGATCAAACGCCCAAAAAATATTATTGAACTTTTGAAGATAAATTCATTAGGATCTTAAGATTCAACAGAGACGAATTAAATACAGATACTTATCTCTTGAAGGAAATTACTCATGTGAAGGAGAAGGTTCTATTTTTTTTTTTTTTTGAAAATATAAAAGGTAACGTGTCGATGTTATATCCTGAAGATCCATTCATTACTTTTTTCATCAAAGCTTTCTCTATATTTATAATTTAGTTTTGCGAATTATGGTACATCTTTTCTTAAACATATTCTCGGCCTAGAAGATTGTTTGCATTTCATATGTAAGTAGCTTTTTTTAAGGTGCTGGTTGATGTTTCAACAGATACTGTATATTGATGTCCTTTTTTTAAAGGAATAAGTTATAAAAGTCAACGAAAATGAAAATGAAAATTAAGTGGGAATTTGGGCATAAAGATATCTCTCGTGCCACGTGGGATGGATGCAGTTACCGGTTTGAATTTCTTAAACGAGCAGTTTCGGGTATAACTTTTCGAGTTTTTTTCGTTACACACCTATGTAAAGTATTTAATTTATTTTTAAGTTTTTTTCAATAATTTTTTATTTATTTTATAGAGGATCGCATTGAGTTGTGACAGGTACATAATCCAGCTGCGGTGTTACTAGTATTTTGTTGTCCTCCTTTTGGATATTTTATAGATAATTTGTTCTGCGATCCTTCGTCATTATTTAAATCAATATACTGTATCAAAAAATCATATTGATTCACCAGATTTATAAAGATTTGCAAAATTTACCTAATTTATTTATTATTTTTATTATATTTTACATAATTGATATATTTTTTATATTTTATATTTATTTTATTTTACAAGACTTAATTATTTTTTATCTTAGCAAATGATTAGTCATAGGTAACCTTTTTTACTATAGTTGTAAATTACTGTAAGCTCTAAAAGTTTTAAGAGCTTAAAAATTTTTGTAAATTATAAATAACAAAATTAGTTTAAAATTAAAAAAAAAAAATACTTTTTTTTCAATGTTATTTTAAGGTTGTTAAAATGATAAAAAGATAAAATTTAGCAAAATTATATTAAAACCTTATTAAAAAATTCATCTAAGATTTGATTCTAATATATTATATTAACTTATTTTTGATTTCATCATTGAATTTGATTAAATAAATCTTAAATTCTAAAATACATAAATTGATAAAGTTGCTTTAAATATAATAGATACCTATATTACTAAGAAAATAATATTCTAAAATTATAAATATTAATAAGTAGAATCACTTGTTACTAAAGATAGACACTGTAATTAAAAAAATAGTGTAATTGAGTTGCAACTTGTGATGCAATTAAATTTGCTTATAGTATAATTAAATTTGAAAGTAATAATAGAAATTATCTTTACTTATTACAATTTTTTATCTCTTAAGAAATGATTAATTAGATTATATTTTATTATTTAATAAGAAGGTAAAATTTTAGATAAAATTCAACTTGTATCTAACTTATTTAAAAGGTAGATTAGGTAGAAATTTAAAATAAATTTATTAATTTAGATACTTTAAAAAAAAAATACATTAGTTAGATCTTTTTTCTAATATAAATGAATTATTAATAAATAAAATGTATCATTTATAATAAATTAAAAAAATCATAAAATATTAATTATAATGAATTTTTATATAAATTTTTATCTCACATTTTAAAAATATTTCTTTTGAGAATATAATTTATAATTACTTTTTAAATATTATGAGAATATTTAATATTTAGAAAATTATTTATAAAAAATTTACTAAATTCAATAATTATTATTAACAAGATAAATTAATATAAAAGATATTAAATTAGTGTAAATATACTACTTTATTACAATTGTAATGCTACTCTTTATTTTGTTGCTGATGATAAAGATAATGATGATAATAGTAATAGTGTTTCTCTATATATTATTACTACTGATAATGATGATAATAATGATGGTAATGATACTTTTCTTTACTTTGCTACTGATAATCTTTTAAAAATTCATTTATTTTAGTTAAATTATTAATAAAAATAAAAAGTATTAATATATATCTAGATTAAATTCAATATTTTTTTAAACATACTATTTATTTAACTTTGTAAAATTTAATATATATAAATTAGTATTTATTCAATATATAAAATAATAAATTTTTCTTTAATTAAATATTATATAATATTAATAATAAAGTTAAAATTTGTAATATTAAATTATAAAAAAATAGTTTTTATCTAAATAATAAAGATAATTTAATTCTAGTTATAGTATATTAAATTTATTTATATTTATAATATAAAATATTAGATCAATTTAATTTTAAAAAATATTTAATTATAATTTTTTTAAATAAAAAATTGAATTTGTTTTAATATTTAAATTAATAGTTATATATATAAATAATTGTTAATTTATTTTTTATATTATAAAAATTTATAAAAATTATATAATTTATTATAATAAATATTATTAAGCTAAAAATAAATTTTATTTTAATTTTATTTTATAAGGTTAAATCTAAATTAAATATAAATCATTATTAATTTAGATCAAATTTTTGATTTTAGTTAATATATATCTAATTTTTAATACTGAAATTGATCTGAAATTTTTGTTATGATCAAAGTTTTTATTTTAAAATTCATAATTTGAACTGAAATTTCAGATTAGTTTATAATTCAGACTGAACTAAATTATTTGAATTATCATTAGTTTTTCATTACATTAATAATAAAAAATAAAAAATATTTTTATTTATATTTTTATTTATATTATAAATTAGTAAAAATAATAATAATATTTTTTTTTATATAAAAAAAATACTTTATATAGAAAAATTGCTAAAAAAATTGGGTTCTAAAAAATTTTTAATTTTTTTAACATTTTTAGTTTTTGATATTATTCAGATTAAAATATGGATTTTAAAAGATTTTAATATAAATTTTCTCAATTTATTTTTTGATTATTCAATATATAAATAAATATACTATATAATATGAGAAGTTTACTAGAAAAATCAGTTTCTGAGAATTTTGACTAAAATTAAGACTTTATTGAATATTTTTAATAGAAAATTTCATTATTTTATACAGTATATATTTAAATACAAACAGATTAAATTATTATAATGAAAACGTTTCAAAAGTTGCTCAACATACTGGTAAAATAAACCATAAAATATTAAAGAAGTGTACCAGAAATTAGCTCAAATTTTATAAATAATATGATATATATAGTATTTATAAATAATTAATTATAAAACATTATGTGAATTTCTTTGTCAAATTCGTATTTAATTTAATTTCTTTTTAAGAATATTCTATATTAATATTTTAATTATATCATTTTATAAACAAATATTTAATAGAATTTAAAATTAAAGAATTATAATAGTTTAAAAGAGAACTTTTAATACTATTTGTCTAACAACAATGTTAGACTTTTGATAAAATCCATATAATAGATCTTAGTCTTAAAACTATTGTTTGCAATTTTTTATAGTGATCATTTCTCAAAAATATCACAACATTCTATTTTAACGTTAGAAGAAAAAAAGATTACTGTTTGTGTTTTAGGATTTTTGTTGATAATTTTTTGAAGAATTTTTCTATGAAAGAGCTTTTTTTATATACATATTTTGCTGAAACCTCCAGTTTAGTGACTTTAATTTTACTAGCATGTGATTATCATACGATTATATGATCATATGTTAGTGATTTTTTTTTTTTGCTTTGAACATATAATTTCTACTTATTTACTTTATATTGGCTGCATATAGGTAGTAAAAAGCATTAATTTAATTATAATTTTGAATAGATTATTTTTTAAAAGAAAAAAATGACGTATTGTCTAATTTTCTTCATACTATTATATATAGAAGTGATATTATTTATAAAAGCAATATTCAAATTTTTTTTTGTTTTTTTTTTATAAGCATTTATTAACTTTCAATTTATAGTAATAATATGTTAAATAAACAATTTTTATTTATTAATTATAGTGAAATTAAAAATGCATAAGTTTTTTTAAAAAAAAATACAAATTTAAAAAAAATACTCTCTATCAGAATAATGTTTCTGAACATGCTTAATAATTTTGAAAATAAACTTCAAATGAATTTTTGATATTTAAAAATTACCTAATACATTTAAAATAAAATTTTGTTATTTAAAATAAGTTTTCATTATAATTCACTATATAAAACATAAAAATACTACTTAGTAGACTAAAAAATTGTAATATATTGTTGTTTAATTTCGAAATGCATCTTTGAATTTAAAATTAATGTTTAAAATTACCTAATATATTAAAAATAAAGCTTTATAATCAGTTTCTCAGCACGCGTATATTAAAATGTAATTATAATATAATTATAATAAATAAAAAAAGTTACATAATTTGAAGCAGATCTGATCGCATATATATTCATTCCACTTCAGACTTTTAATCTGATCTTTAATATTTTTTAAAATTAATGATTGTTAAAAAATTAATTAAATACAATTTTTAAAAATGTATTATAAATAAAAAATGTATAATTAAAGAAAATGTGTAAAATGTGATTTTTAAATATTATGTAATGTTTGTAAAGAATAAATAAAATTTAAAATACATATAGTGAATAAAATAAAATTTAAGTATAACAATTCCAACCTTTGCTTCATTCTAATGATAAACCTAATGTAATATTTTTGCTTGACCTACTTAAAACTTTGCATTTTATTGTAATTTTATCAAGTTTTTTAATAGATTTGATGTCATACTTAATATAATGAATTTTAAATACCTCTCTAATAAACAATACGAGCTTTTCTATGGTCCCACATTTTTTAAGCTTATTTTTGTCTATGACTTTTAAGTATCTGCCTAAAATTTGCTCAATAATTTCTTTAGACAAAAATTCTTCAATTTCTGCTTCTGTTGACATTAACATAGTAGTTCATTCTTCTCTGATTAATTTATCTTTGAATTTGCTTACCCTTGCACTGATTTTTTTATTGAGTTTACTGCAAAAATCTGTTAGAACCCTTTTAGAGTAATAAATGACCTCTTTCACATCATTGCTATATAGATCATAATTGAAGATTTTTGTGACAAGTTTTTTAATAACTTCATCTGAAGGTACTCTACATCAAAGAAAAAGACACTTAATCTCTTCATGCCAAAGTTGAGCCAGATTCTTTTCATCATTTAGCGTAATAGTAGCAGATTTCATCATCAGAGAAGAGGCAAACATATTGACAAGTGATGAATCTAGAGAGGTATTTAAAGTATTATACATTTGATACACCATGAATAATATGTCTTGTCTCTCTATTATTAACTACTAGTAGACTTCAAGCATATTTTTCATTTCATTTAAAACTTTAGGCTTAACTAAAAATAAGAATTAATTTTAATAATAAATATTAATTAAAAAAAATTATAATTACCTTTTTTCACATTGTATGATAATAAAATTTTAATTTCATGATCTTTATCATCCTTATTCTTGTCCTTATCTGAGCTTTTAGAATGATCATAGACATTACCTAATTTAAATTGAGACCTTTTCGAGCTAAAATGTGACCTTTGTGATAGTTCTAAAGTAGTAAAATCATCAGGTGTATCATCATATATCATTAAATTATTGTTAGAGATATTAAAAACAGCAATAATAATAAAATTTGACTTGTTACTATGACCTAATTTTAATATGTATAAATCAATGTTAAAGTTTCTTAAATTGAAGTATCAGGTTCTTTTTTTTTGCTTTGACTACCTGATTGAAATATATACCAAATATTAATTAGTAAAGTTTAAAGAAAATTTAATTGAAAAATAAATATAAAATCTAAAAATTTTACCTGCTTTAATTTTAATCATTATATTAATAGCAGATTCAAGTTTTTTATTTATTTTGCTATGACTATAATCACAACTTCCTCTATCTCTTCTATGTCTATCTAATAATAAATAAAAAAATTTATTGTATTTATTAGTGACTTTTTAGTTTTTAGGTCGTGATAGAACTTTGTAAAACAGTTTATTTATAACACTTACTTATAATTTGTGCTCCATTTGGTGTATTAATTTCAATAATTCCTTGAATTTTTTACATTTATTCTATTTTAAATAAATATTTTAACGAAAATATAAAGTAAAAAAGTAAAAGTAGGAAAAAAAGTTTTTTTTATAGTTTAATAAATTTTAATTTTTTATTGTAAATAATAAAAACTTTTATACAATAATAATTTTAAATAAATAGACTTTTATATCAATATAGATTTTGATACAATTTTTAATAATCAAACATGGATAATATTATTCAAAAAAGCTATTTATATATATAATGCACAAAAGTTTTCATATGATTGAAGACTTCGCCTTTATTGTTAATGATAAATAAATTTTTAATATTTAACGCTAATAAACTTTATATATTATTTAACCAAATTTAGTTTAACACTGATTTATTAGAATGAAGTTTTACAATCTTCTTATTATTAATAATATTAAATAAAACTTTTTAATATTTAACATTAATAGACTTTTATATATTATTTAACTAAATTTAGTTTAATGCTGATTTTATTAAAATGAAGTTTTACAATTCTCTTATTGTTAATAATCAAAATAAGACTTTTTAATATGTCTAACTAATAAATTTAATAAATTTTACATATTATTTAACCAAATTAAGTTAACAATGATCTATTAAAATAAAGTTATACATATAAAATAAGACTTTTAATACATAATACTAATTATATCAAACAATAGATTCAATCTATATATAGCGAAGCTTATGTATTTTTTTTATTTTTTTTATTTTAACTTTATACATTTTACAAAATTTTTTTTAACTGTATATTTAAATTTTATATTTAATAAACCTTAATAAATAATAAATAATAAACTTAATTTTATTTGTTATCCTTTATAAACTTAAAAAATACATAAAAATCATCTTTTGTTAACCAAACTATTTTCTTTATGCAAAAATATAAACCTTTCTAAATATAATATCCTTCAAAAGAATAAACAGCTTAGTTTATATAAATAATATTAATATTTATTAGCAAATGACATTTTTTATTAATTTAAATAAAGTTTAACTGACTATTTTTATAACTGTTTTTAAAGTATTAAGTATAGAAGGTAGCGAAATTAAATTTCAAGAAAAGATGGAAGTTGATGATAATGAACTTGAATTATATGATAAATCAGAAGTTAGAAATAATAACGATGATAATAACAGTGAAGAGGTTGATAATAAAGGTGAAGAAGATGATAATGACAATACTGAACATAAAGATAATAATAATGCTAAAAATAATGATGATCATAATTATGAAGACATTTATTATGATGATAATAATATTAATATAAATGATGATATAATAGAAGAGAATTACAATTAGAGAGAGAATGATAATATTATTAGTGATAATGATAATGTAATTTTTAAATTTTTTCATCTTTAAAATATGACTAGTCAGTTCAGTTTATTTACCATTTGATTTGAGTTTCAATAAACGAACTTCTTATCTCGTGTTATTAATACTAATATATATTTTAATAAAACATTTTTATTTGTAATAAAGCATGAAGATATAATAGCTGATTTATCTATAGGTAGTGATCAAATATTAAATATAAATAGAAGTTTTACACCTTATTTTAAAAATACAATTTCTGTATTATTATTTTATTAAATATAGAAATATAATATATGTAAGTATAATATTAGCTATATCGATATAACAATTGTATTTAATGATCTTTTATCTATATTAATACATATAATGATTTAATAGAAATCTTACAACATCAAAAATTTGAAGTAAAAGATATTATAAAAAATATAAAAAGATTCTATCAATTAAAAAATCAACTGCCCTTAATGTTAATAAGAATACGTTCTATTAAATAAATCTAAAGAAAATACCATCTACATCTAAAAGAACAAAACCTTGTTACTGTTTATCAATTTATGATATTATTCAAAATTTATTAAATAATCTAATACTATATAACAAATTGTACTTTAAACTAGAAATAGAAACTAAAGTAAAAAAAGAATATTAGTATAGGGATCTTTAGGCTGAATTACTATTATTTAGTCAAGATAAAATAACTATTAATAAAAGTATTTTGGTTTATTGATATTGTTACAAATGAATAATGATATAATTCAATTATTAGATCATCAAAGATAATAAATATATATAATTTATTTTATTTTTTATAATTAGAAATTTTTCAGCCAAGTGGATTTGTTATATATAAAAAAAATATTAATAAATGAAGATTTAGACGAATAAGATCAATAATATCTATTAATGATAAACTTCAGATAAAAATACAATAGATATATACTTATAATGAATTACTGCATAATTTTTACTGCAATACTCAATCAATTACAAGTAAATTACAATTGTGATTAGTAGATTAATACTTAGAAGAAGATAGTATTATTATAAATACAAACAAAATTATTCAAAAAATTGATATTACAATTATCCGCAATTCTCATATTACTAATATTAATGGCCTTTATATTAAAGAAATTTTATATAAAAATTATAGCCATTGAAAATTACGTAGCATAAATCTTGATTATATGCATCCTATTGAATATTCAACTTTTATTCTACCACTACTTCAATATCCTAATTTACTAATTTTGAAATTATTTATTAACATTTATTATGATAATTTTAAAACTTATAGAAATATTTATCATTCTTTAGGTGGAATTTACATTTAATTTGAAAATATGCCATTTGATATGAAGTAACATCTTCATAATCATTTCATCTTAGGTTTTGTTCCTTTTAGTGGTTATTTTAAAGATTTCATTTAACATTTTATTAAAGATATAAAAAATTTAGAAAAAGAGATATTAATGAATATTCAAAAAAGAGATTATTGAATAGTAGCTGATCTTAGATGTGTAACTGCAAACCTACCTCAAGGAAATAATCTAACTGGTATAAAAAGACATAATGCAATAAAGGGTTGTAGAATATGTCTAACTGCTAAAGAAAATGTGATAGATATTACGCTAGACATCGTCAGTATTTCCCACTATCACCATATTACTAATATCCAATTTAAATATATATTCATAGCTACAAGTCAAGATCAACAAAATGCTTTCGCAAAAGAATATGATTTATATACTATCACTACTTGATCAACTTCAACAAGAATATCATTTGCAATCACTGTAAGTTATTTATTACCTATTAACTGAAAAAACATTAAAATTGCTTAAGCTAACAATCTCTATACTATCTCTAGAAGGTAAACAAAATTTTCTTAATATTAGAAATCATTTAAATATACCTCTCAATAGGTGTCTCTCGTCTTCAAATTCAGGGGCCCTTACACAAGTAAGGAAGTAATTAACCAGTAATTAGTAGATTGAATACCTCCTTCGGGTAGGCTATGATGATAATAGATTGCATTACATGCTGCAGTACCATCCAATTGAATTATCACTAGGGGTAGAAGCTAGGTTTGAATCTCAGATAAATTTGACATTATGGATACAAAACTACCATCTATGTAAAGGACCTGATCTCATGATCTCAGTAGTCATCAATAGGGTAAAATCCTATAAATTAGATTGGTAAAAATAGGATGTGATAAGCTCTATGGTTGAAGTGAACCCTCTATTCAAAGGTGATAATACCAATGGTCTAGTGAGCTTGTAACTGCGAGTATAGCTATTATAGGTCTTTAACTAATTATAAGTATTTAAAACTATAAGAATTAACAAAATTATAAGAAAGAACTAATTTGAATCACAGCTAAGTATTTAATATGATTATTAAATGTTAGGCAATTGTAGTAAAATGTTTTTAACTAATATTTAAAATTATATTGACTAATGATAATCATATAATTCTTGAGAATTAGTTAAAAAAGAACGAAATGTATTGATTCAAGTAAGTAAATACTATACATTAGATTCTTTAAAACTTTTTCTATTAAAATTATATTATATAATTTTGTTAACTATTCTATTTTAAATATAGTTATTTGAAGATTTTATGAATCTTCCTAATATTTATGCTAGCTATCATTTACTGCAACATGCAAGGACTTTTGAAACTCTTGCAAATACTAAAGTTAGAATAAAAAAAATAGTCCATTGTATTTTTAAGAATATAGTTTCTCGTACTAATTGCAAAATATTAAATTAGATTTGTTAAAATGATATACAACTCTATAGTCTATCTGACATCTTACTGATGATGAAATTGATTCTTAGAACTTATAACTTAGCATTGATTTTACGAATATATACTACCTTCAGAAAAGTATTTGATTAAGCTCTTCTTAAATTATTCAAGATCAGACATATTAACTAGCTATTTTTTTTTAAAAAAAATAAATCTTCTGATTCTGACGATTAAGTACATATATTTATATTTGTGTAAATTAGTTTTAATAAATAAAAACGTAAATATTTCTCTTTTTTTAAAACTACGCCATTCAATATGGGAAAAAGTCACAAATTAAATGAGTTTAAACGCAGAAAAATAATCAGTTTATGAATAGCTGAAAGAACCATAAAGCTATTGCTCATCTTTTAAAAATTTTACAAAGCACTGTTACAAATATAATCACTTGATATGCTAATTCTAGTAATGCCAAAAAATTTTCATAAACTTGAGAAAATATTGCAAGAAGAATGGAGAAAAATTTCATCTGAAACCTATATTAAAATTATAGAAAGTATACCACATAGAATCGAAGCATGTATTAGAAGTCAAGGATAGCTTATTGAATATTAAATATATTAAATATTTTATTTATATCAAAAATCTCAAATAAATAAAATATTATTTTAGTTGATTGGATACTTT